ATGTGATAGAGGGCGAGCCACATAACCAGGCACCCAGACAGGAGACTCCATCCACGAACAGGTCAATAACACTCCAGACCCAACTACAGAGGCAGGAAAAAGGCAGCAATGAGGGAGAGAGTGTGAGTGAGTGAGGAAGCAAAAGAGGAGTGTGTGGACATGTGATGTGTGTGTGTGTGTGTGTGTGTGTGTGTGTGTGTGTGTGTGTGAGGCACAGTTAGATCCTGCAGGACCTTCAGGGGCAAGCTAATTGGGCTCGCCTAACCAGGAAGCCTCTGCTACCATTGCAAACAGTCCCAGAGTGGCCAGTTCCTCCACAGAGGCCGTGCCTCTTTGAAGGGGAGAGCTGCTGTGACTGGGAGCCCAGCCTCACCTCCACCCAGGATGCCCTCAGATAATACCCTGGACCCTACAGCCACCCCCACCAAGTACTTGCTGCCTCAACTGCAGTCCCACAGTCACTGAGACTCCAGCCACTCCAGGCGCAGGATCCTGTGAGTTATGAAGTGTGCTCCTCTCTGGCCGGCCCAATGCTTTAGCCCAGGGTACCACGACCAAGTGAGCAGAAGCCCCACGAGCAACCTGCCCCAGTCCAAGGAGGGGCAGCCCCTTGCAGGGGAAGGAGCAGCAGCTGCATGCAGCCCGCCCCCATCCAAGGATTAGCAGCTGCGCAGCCCCATACAAGGAGCAGCAGCCCTGCAAGCAACCTTCCCCTGTCTGAGGAACAGCAGCCTTGTGAGCAGCCCGCCCCAGTCCAAGGAGCAGCAGCTCCATGAGCAGCTAACCACCATCCCTGGAGCAGCAGCCCTGAGAGCAGCCATCCCCCATCTGAAAAGCAGTAGACTCCACGAGCAACCCACCCCAATCCAAGGAGAAGCAGCTCTGTGAGCAGCCCACCCCCATCTGAGAAGCAGCTGCCTCATGAGCAGCCTGTCCCTGTCAGAGGAGCAGCAGCTGTGTGAGCAGCCTGCCCCCAGCAGCCAGAGGAGCCACCACTGCTGCAAGCAGCACCCAACAGAGGAGCCACTGCCAACTGAGGAGCAGCCACTGCTGTGACTGATCAAGGAGCAGCCACCACCCGAGGAGCCACTGCCATCCGAGGAGCAGCCCCTGTGCAACTCCACAACTAGATCCTTTGGTAAGAGCAAAAATGGGGAGACAAAGAAACCCCCAAAGGAAAGAAAGGAGGCATCACCAGAAAAGCAGCTAAGTGAAATAGAGACATGCAATATGTCATAAAAAGAATTCAGACTAAGGATCAGTCAGTTCATAAACCAGATAGATGAAAAAAAATCAACAACTTATGTGAGAATCAAGAAGAAATAAAGAGTTATATAGCTTCAATAAAAAAACACCATGGAAAGTTTCAACAGTAGACTAGGATAGTGGTCGTCAAACTGCGGTTCACAAGCCACATGCGGCTCTTTGGCCCCTTGAGTGTGGTTCTTCCATAAAATACTATGTGTGGGCGCGCACATACAGTGTGGTTGAAACTTCGTGGCCCATGTACAGAAGTCAACAAAACAACAAAACAACAAGAAAGCCCACTGCATGGGAGAACATATTTGCCAATGTTATCACCAGTAAGGGTTTAATCTCCAACATTTACAGGGAATTCATACAACTCAACAAAAGATAAACAACCCAATCAAAAAAATGGGTAATGGATCTAGATACTTTTCAAAAGAGAACATAAGGAAGGCCAAGATACATGTGAAAACATGCTCAAAGTCACTAATCATCCAAGAGATGCAAATCAAAACGAAATGTGGAACTATCTCACACCTGTCAGAATGGCTATTATCAACAAATCAACAAGTGACAAGTGCTGGAGAAAAATGAACCCTCCTGCACTGCTGGTGGGAATACAGACAGGTGCAGCCACTGTGGAGAACAGTATGGAGTTTCCCCAAAAAATAAAAATGAACTCCCATTTGACCCAGTGATCCCACTTCTAGGAATATATCCCAAGAAACCAGAAACACCAATCAGAAAGGATATATGCACCCCTATGTTCATAGCAGCACAATTTACCACAGCTAAGATTTGGAAACAGCCTGTGTGCCCATCAGCAGATGAGTGGATTAAAAAACTGGTACATATACACAATGGAATACTACCCTACAGCAAAAAAGAAGGAATTCTTATTATTTACAACAGCATGGATGGAACTGGAGAGCATTATGCTAAGTGAAATAAGCCAGTCAGGGAAAGATAAATATCACATCATCTCACTCATTTATGGAGTATAATGAACAACATAAACTGATGAACAAAAACAGATCCAGAGACAGAAAAGCATTGATCATACCGTCAAAACTCAGAGGGAAGGTAGAGGAGGGTCAGGGGAAGGGGAAGAGACCAACCAAAGGACTTGTATGCATGCATATAAGCCCAACCAATGGACATAAGACACCAGAGGGGTGAGAGCAGGAGTGGGGTGGTGGGGGGCAATGGGAGGATCAGGACACATATGTAATACTTTAATCAATGAAGAAAAAAAAAAGATTTTCCTCCAAAATTATCCCTGAGGTAAGAAGAATTGATCTGATATTCAAGTCCTTATGAAGTCTACATTATGGTGCATGCTCTCAACTACTGCCTTTTGAACAGCAAAATGCTCTTTGGGGGAAACTCATTAACCTGAAATAACCTCAATCAATGAAGTTTTGGATTTTCATGGAGGTGTCTTAGCAGAATCAGAAAAAAGTGGAGGCAAATGCATTGCACACAGATTCAAACATTCCTGGGGGTGTTGCGAGTATTGTCTTTTTAAGCAAGCCCTTTTTAAAAACCACTTGAAGAGCAATAAAGGAAGTGGTTATGTTGTGGAGATGACAAATACACACCAACCAGATTTGTTTTTAATTCACGCAACCTAATATTATGCAACCAGGCTTTTGTGACAAAGAATAAAGTTCCCAGCATCATACACAGATTGAAAAAGTGCTGTGTCACAAATATTTGAGCAAAAGCAAAGTTTCTGTGTTCTGTGAAAGTTAATGATAGCAAACTCTTAATGATATTGACACAGGTATAAAAGAATTCTAAACGCTTAAGTAAAATTGCTTCATGAAATATGAGTGGGGGAAAAATAACACATCTTACTACACTGTTTATATAATACGTGATTTTAAAAGTGTATAGCAAACTAAGTTAATAAATTATTTCAACCATGCAAAAAATTCCTATATAATAAAGAGCTAATATGCAAATGATTGTCACACCCTCACACTGTAATGGCTCAGACACTCAACATTGGGGACTAGCCAGGCACAAATGAGCTCCTGAGAGAGGAAGGGGGACCAGCCAGGATGTGGCCTGGGAGAGGGACAAGCCACCTGCCCAGTGGTCCCAGTCACCTGCGGCTGTGGCCTGGGTGAAGCCACCTGCCCATAGTCCCCTGCAGCTGCGGCTGGCCCAGGCGAAGCCGGCCCAGGTCCTGGGTTCCTGTGGCCTGCAGAGCAAGGGAAGCCCAGGTCTCAGGTGCCTGCAACTGTCTGGAGGATAAAATCCTGGGTCCTGGTGCACGGCAAGGCAGAGGCAGTTTGGGGCAATCAGGCCAGTAGAGGAACAGTTAAAGGCTATCAGACCAGTAGGGGAGAAGTTAGGGGCAATCAGGCAGGCAGGCAGAGGTGGTTAGGGGTGATCAGGCAGGCAGGCAGATGGGTTAGGGGTAATCAGGCAGGCAGGCTAGCAGTTAGAAGCCAGTGGTCCTGGATTGCAAGAGGCAGTTGGACATCCCCCGAGGGATCCTGGATTGGAGGGGTGCAGGCCAGGCTGAAGAGCCTCCTCCCCCATCATGCTCAAATTTCATGCACAGGGCCTCTAGTAAATAAATAAAACAACAGGATACCACTACATACCTACTAGTATGGCTAAAAATGACTGACCATACCAAGTATTCACAAGCTTTTGGAGCCCCTGGAATCCTCATACACTGCTGTTGCGAATATAAATGCTACAATCACTCAGAAAACAGTTTCACTATTTCTTAAAAATTAAACATATGCTTATCATAGCAGCAATTCCACTCCTAGGTAGTAACCCAAAAGAAATAAAAGCTCATGTCCATACAAAACTTAAAAGCGAGTGCTCATAATAGCTTGAAAAATAGTAATCAGAAAAAAAAAAAGCCATGAACAGGAGACTGGATAAATTGTGGAATAGAATACTTCTCAGCAATTAAAAGGAATGGACTGATAAATGCAACAACATGGATGAATCTCAAAATAAATATTATGAAAAAAATACCAGACATTAGAGTATATAGTCTATGGTTCTGTTTACATAAAATTCCAGGAAATGCAAACTAATCTATAGTAAGAGAAGGTGGACCAGTGATTGCCTGGCACTGCATTAGGGGTGGAGGGCTGTGGTAGGAAGGTATACAGGAGGAATTAAAAAGGAGCACAAAGACTAGGGCCACGAGGGAGCCTTGTAGGTGCTGCATATGGTCAGTATCTTGATTGTGATAATGACTTCACATATCACAATGTGTATGCCCATATCACAACTGGTCAAACTGTACAATTTACATATATCCCGTCTATTATATGTCAAGTATACCTCAGTAAAGCAGTTTTTTAAAAGACTAAAATTAAAAGCAGACCAAGCTAAATGTTGAAAAACAATGACTATACTACAGAAAATAGCATTTTTCACTTTCTCCTGATTATAAAGGGAAAACTATTTCACACATGCAAGAGCAACAGGATATTTTCTGTATCTCATTATAAGTAGCATACTTTGTTGCAATAAATAGATGTATCTCATATATAAGTGAATTCTAGAAAAGTCATTCATTATTCAATATTTCTCAGTCTGGCCAAAGGATGGCAGTGTTTAAAAAGCATCTGAGTTTGTTTCCTGCAGTGCTGGATAAATAGGAAGCCAGGTCTGGACTCTGGTGCAGGAGGAGAGACCACTGAGCTAAAGTAACCTCAGCTGGGGAAGCCCATGGGAGGAAACCTGACTCGGCTTCTCTAAGGAGCCAAGGGATGAAGACTCTGCTGCAAGTCCTCATGGGGATACTGGAGCTGCAGGCAGCCTGTGAGTATGCCGTCAGTGCAGGAGAGTCAGGAGGTGATGACCCTTCCTGGGGGCAGGAACTGAGTCTTCTTCCGTCCTGGGAAGGCCCTTTTGAGAGGCAGGTACATGTTAAAAGAATCGACCATATTTTATGTTGCTGTGATAATCTTGCTGCCTGGAGGAAGTGGGAAGGGGGAAAGAAAAACCACCCCTACTACAAGTATGAAAATCTTACAGGGTCTCGTGTGTGTGTGTGTGTGTGTGTGTGTGTGTGTGTGTGTGTGTGTGTACGTGTTTACATTGTCTTTTTGGACAGGGATCAGCAGCCAAAAACTGGAGCAGAGTTCACAGTCCCTGAACATCCAATTCATCCCAGAGGGAAAAAAATTCACCATAAACTGCAATTCATCAAAGACTGTCTATGCCTTCCACCAGTACAGGCAGAAGTATAGCGAAGGCCCCATCTCCTTGTTGATAACGTTATGGAAAAGCAGGGAAGAAAAGAGTCATGAAAAAATGACTGCCAAGTTGGACGAGAAAAAGCAGCGAAGTGCCCTGCACATCACAGCCCTTCTGACCAGCCACTCAGGCATCTACTTCTGTGGCGCCCATGCACAGCGATCTCCAGGCCTCTGCAGGCTGTCCCCAAATGTGCAGCTAGGCCACAGATCTCTCCTGACACAGGGCTCCTGGCGGGTGTGGCTGGGACACTTGCCAAGAGAAGCCTAAGGGAGGTGTAATTGTCTCATTGTAAGCTATGGGGTTAAGTGTGAGAGTAGAGGAAATTATACCTTTATTCCCAAATTTAATGTGTCTGGGTAAATTGTCACATTTAAGTAAGTAGAACCTCAAACTACTGGGATGTGAATGGCATAAATTTCCATGATTTATACAATAACTGTGCACTAATTTTGTGCCTCTGTTGTTCCAAGGAAACTCTTCTTCTTCTGCTACTCACTCGCCTTGTTAATAGAAAAAAATGGTGAGTCATTCTTTGTTGCACACTAAGACTGTACTATATGTATTAGAACAGCAATATTGCATACCAGAAGGAATCAGGGACAATATTTTTCTCTTAGTTTATAAATATAGAATAGACAAATGGATAGGTAGATAGATAGATGATAGATAGATGATAGATAGATAGATAGATAGATAGATAGATAGATAGATAGATAGATAGACAGACAGGTAGATAAGAGAGAAAGAGACAGAGCGCTAACCCAGTCTTAGACTGGCCTTCACTTCAACAACAAGGCTCACCTGTTCTCACTGCCCACAGGCTGCAGCCACACCCTGTTGGCCCTTACCTCCAACATAGCTTCAAAAAATTCCAAATCATGCTCACTCCTTCTGGCAAAGCTCATCTTCCAGACTTTATTTTTCACTTGTCTTATTGTGCTTGATAAAAGCTCTGAATTTAGGGCCAAATCTTGTGGAATTGGGATTTGTAACAACTTTGTCTTTAGTTTTTCACCATCCCTGCACCTTTATTTTCATCCCTTCCCCCCCTTTCCCCCCCCCCAATCTGCTGCTCCTGCTTGTTACTCATCCCCTAATGGCACTCTGTGACTTTTAATACTCCTTAACCGACCCAAAGCCTAATGTCTCTAGTCACTGAATTGCTTTCCAAAATCTTCTCTCTATTGATTCATGTCCATTTACTGATTCCATCTCTAAAATGAAGTGGTTCATAACCTAATTTACATTTTGAGGCAACATCCTAGGCTACTCCACCCTGGATTGTTTGTATTTGAAAAGGGAATGCTGGAGGAGATTCAAAGGAAATCACCTCAAATGCTGCATTTTCAGTTACTGTCAGTTGGATGGGAAGGATGTTGCATGGCAAAAATGCTTTCTTACACTCTTAAACCATCGTGCAGGCTCTCTGCCAGTGTGTAGGGCAGTGTGCATTTTTATTCACATTTTCTCAGGAGGATAATATAATTCAGAAAAGAAAAGGGATGGTTTATTGCTTAACACTGCATACTATGTGCAGCATGTTATTTAAGATAGATGTCTTCACGTAACAATCATGGCCATGAATATGTACAATATACATTTAAATAACCATATCCATTTTTATTTAATATAGCAAAAGGCAATAAAATGGCAGATATTACCTTCACTTTACTGATGAGAAAACTGAAGTCAGAAAAAATTCCCATCAAGGAATGCTTTTGAGAACGTGAATTCTGGGGAAGCATACTGAAGGCTGCAGACACTCCAGAGACACGGAGGCCACTCACCTGTCATGTGGCAAGTCCTCACCTCTGCCCACTTCCTGTCATAGGTGCCAATGAACAAATGTTCTCATAGTCACCGCCCACTGACCTGGAGCCTGGAGGCAGTCATGCTTTGCTCCCACTTCTGCAAAATGTATCAGAACATGATGGAAACTGGGTCATTCTGCTTCTGACCCCTCCGGGTACTGAGCTAGACCGTTTTTGATCTCCAGGTCTCTCCCCGGAGACAATGTCTGCGGCCCTGGATCTGTGCCATTTCCTGTACTTAAAAGTGGTGCCCACACCATATTTACTTGTTTTATTGGTGTTGCCACTTGGTATATTTCTCTTTCTTACAACTTTAAATAGAAATAATCCATCCTGACATTGCAGTGTTTTCCTTCTGAATGAACTCACTAGAACCATTTGTTACCCTTTTTATTTTATTTTTTTTATATTTTAATTTTTTTAAATTTCTTTATTGGTTAAGGTATTACAAATGTGTCCTCATCCCTCCATTAACCCCCAACCTCCCGCCCACCCCCGACTCATGCTCTCATCCCCCTGTTGTCCATGTCCATTGGTTTGGCTTATATGCATGCATACAAGTCCTTTAGTTGATCTCTTCCCCTTACCCCCACCCTCCCCTACTTTCCCTCTGGGGATTGATAGTCTGATCGCTGTTTCTCTGTCTTTGGATCTGTCCCTGTTCATCAGTCTATGTTGTTCTCTATATTCCATTTAAAAATATGTTTTTTATTGATTTCAGAGAGGAAGGGAGAGGGAGAGAGAGATAGAAACATCAATGATGAGAGAGAATCCTTGACTGGCTGCCTCCTGCACACCCCACACTGGGGATCTAGCCCTGACCAGGAATCAAACTGTGACCTTCTGGTTCATAGGTCGATGCTCCACCACTGAGCCACGCCGGCTGGGCCCACTCGCTACACTTGATTCTCTGGCATAGCAATGCCAATTAGAAATCACCTGAGCAATTAAATCAGAATGCAAGGCAACTATTTCTTAGCTTGTAGACTTAAGACATATATGAGTCTGCCGGGAGCCGGTCCATCCTTGCTGTTTCAAGGGACCTGGCATATATGGCATACTGTTCTTAATATGTTTGCTCTCCTTCTTGGCACTATGTGTTTTAACCAAGGTCACCTCTCTGAGAAAGGTTGTTTCCCCAGGTAGAGATTTTCCCCTGAAGTTAGGGAGGGAATAAAACCCCTTAACTAAGTGTCAGGCGGGTAATTAATCACTTTAACTATGAACAATCATGCTTAAGCTACATAATCTTTACTCCCTGGAATGGAGATAAGAAATGCCCTAACCTTTGGAATAGAGATTGATAGGATTGGAATCAACTGGTATAAATACAGATGTAACAAGACAACAAGACACAGAACCTAGACACAGAACCTACACAGAACCTAGAGACAGAAGAACTTCGCTGGAGAGAACATGGCAAAAGATCCTGGACAGAAACTGGCCACAGAACCTAGAGACAGAACCTAGCGAGAGAACATGGCAAAAGATCCTGGACAGAAACTGGCCACAGAACCTAGAGACAGAACCTAGCGAGAGAACCTGGCTGATGAACCTAGAGACAGAACCTGGCTACAGAACCTGGATAGAACATGGCAAGAGAACCTGACTAGAACCTGGTGACTGAACCTGGCTGGAGAACCTGGACAGAACCTGGCTGGAGAACCTAGCGAGGGAACGTGGCTACAGAACCTGGCTGGAGAACCTGGAGAACCTGGCTGGAGAACCTAGCGAGAGAACATGGACACAGAACCTGGCTGGAGATCCTAACCAGAACTTCGCTGGAGATCCTAACCAGAACTTGGCTAGAGATCCTGGCTCGGCTGCTGATCAACTGAACACCGTCTCCATGTCATTCCTTCTTCACCGACTCCGTCCACACCTTTGGGGACCCCTGGACCTGCTGGGGTTGGACCCCAGCATGAGTCTTCTTAGTAACTTCAGTGTTTGTTTTTATATTGTTGTTGTTGTTTTCAATTTACCTACAAATTACTGCTAACAGCCTAGGAGAGTATTAGGCTACATACTTGGAGGCCTGGAAGATATGCTCCTCTCTATGTGTATGAAATTTCTTTGAACTGTCATGTTCAATCTTGAAAATTCATGTATTACATTAATTCTGTAATAAACCCTCACTTATTTCAATATGCAAAAGATTATTTCAATTGACGATTCAAAATGTATGCCATGGCTATCTCAGGGCTTAATATCACCCTTTATATACCTGGCCTTTTCTCCATTGGGGCTAGAAATGTGTTGCCAGAATTCTCAAGGAGAGGGGGACTGTCAAGGCTGGGAGCTCAGGTCTCTCGGAGAACTGGAATAAGGCCTCGTCATTGCTGAGACTGCAACAGCGACCATGATGCCCACCAGGAGGTAATAGATCTGTGCCTCCCACATTTCATTAAGAAAGGATCGGACAACTGCAAAATGGTTTTCCTCTCATGAAGATGTTTTAGTTTTTTGCTTATTCTGTTTGCTTATTCTTTTAAAAAGTGCATTTCTCTAATAAAAATTGCGGTCATTTAAAAAGAAAGAAAAAAAGAAATGTAAGGTTATCAGTATTTTTACTTGGTGGGGGACAATGGTTCATATTAAGAAACATAATCACTACACAGTGGGAATAGGGAAGAAGCAGGGTAAATAGACACACAGGGTAAATCTCAGGCAGACCTAGACCTAAAATTAGCATTGATACTAGGAGGAGAAAAGGACACCCAGGAACACAGAAATAGATTTCCCTGCTCTCTGAAGTCTGAGGCGCACAGTGGGATATAAAACAGACCTTCCAGTCAGTACAAGGTGGAAGCTCTTTTACCTAAATCAGTACTGGAGCGACAAGGCAATCCTCAGGCACTCAGCTTGACCCTAGGCATTTGAAACTCAAAGTTGCAGGATGAATTTTACTCTTCAAAACAAAACTTCCCCTTGAAAATTCCATTTTGCCAAAATGAGGTTTTGCTATTACTCCAAGTTTTATTTGCTACTTTCTTTTAAAAAAGGACTGTTCACACCATTGTGTTAATAAATAATGTAACCTTCTTCTTCCTGCATTATCTCTGTCAGGGTTCTTTTCTCTTTTTGTTTTTGTCTTTCATGTTAAGACTTTCTTTGTTTTTAAATGTTTAATGATCTGGATGCCCATTCACACTTAATGAGATACAAATCTGATATTTGAGCAAAAGAAGATGGCTCCAGTTCCTCTATTTTAAGTATTTGTCTCACATCACTCTCAACTAGTCCTGGTATCCCAGATTCTTATTCCTCTTTATTCAATATTTTCAGAAAAATAGTCATTTATCCCTCTGAAAGCAGTGAAGAAGGAGTGGACATCTGACTTTCAGGTAAGGATGGGAGATCTGAGACTATAATGGTGCCTCAGAGAATTGTGCTTTACACTGCATACATTCAGTTTAAAGTCCATCACCCTGATGCTTCACTCTGATCTTCTGAGGT